GGTTGCGCCGCCGTGGGATCGCCATACGGCGGCGGTTGTGATAGGAAGCTTTGAGTAGACTCCTCTTCCTGCAGTCACCCCGTTAGCGGAGCAAGAGGAGAGGGTTTAGGGGTATTATAGGGAATACAGATTTGTTATTCTTTCTTCTTTGAGGAGAGGATTTTTTTGTTGGGGTTTTAGCCCATAACGATTAACGACAAGGATTGCATCGTAGGAAACACTGATATTGTCTGTTTTTTAGCTTTTGGACTGATGAATTATTTAAATAACACCGTTTGTAGACAATTGAAAATGGCAAAACACAGCAAAAGAAACAGGAAAAAGCGAAAAGAAAATGAAAAAGAGAGGATTGTGTTTCTGATTTAGATCTTTGAATTGTTCGTTACTTGAGAAGGTACACTTGGGGTTGAAATAATGACCTTCGCCATTTGAGATATAGAATCTTGTTTCTTTCATTAAAAAAAGCCATAATTTAACTTTCCATAAAATAAAATAAAAAATATAATTGTGGACAAGATTTAACTGAAAAACATAAAAGATCTATTTCATTGGTCAGAAAAGCAAAATAATAAGAACTGCGATAATTAATCGCCTAGAGGTTTTTTCTTCTATTCTTACTCGCACTGAATGTTTAAATTAATTAAATTTAACATGGTTAATTGATTTAATAAAGTAAAAATGCTACATTAAATAATCATGGTTATGTGATAGAAGTGCATATGCAACCACAATATCATATTTTTATTGGTTTCGTATAAATATTCTGTGCGAGTAAGTTTTTAAGCCCTTCTCACGGTAATTCTTCAATGTCTCGAGCTCATGGTTAAAAGCGGAGGAACTCGACTATTACAACAACTCTAACTTGTTTTGGGAAGTTTTTTTGATATCCAAATTCAAATTAGAGAGACCTAATAATAAAATAGAAGAGAACTGTTGAATTTTAATTTGTAGATTGGATCTGTGAATAAATTATGAAAGCTCATCAGCTATTGTTTTCCACTTGAAGTCATTTTGTTATAATAAATTCAAGATCTCTTTGCATATTAAATTACAATTTGCACAAGTAAATGTTTGTTGATGCAGACTAACAGATGGAGCTGTGATGAAGTAACTGACTGTTACGCGGTGCCTTCCGGATGTCCATATCAAACTTTTAGAGCTACGAGCCGATGTCAAGAAAACAGCGTGCACGAGGGAATTGAACGAAAACTTGATTGAATTAAAAGAGCAAAGGCTGTTTTCTTCTGAACCATGGTTTCACATCAGTGATTAATATGCAAACAAAAGAATTTGCCAAAAGTGTAGACACAAGATGAGGTAAATATATCAGAGATAAGGATCTAAACAGCTTTTAGATTCACAAAATAGTAGCAACAATTTGTAAAAGTACTTGGGATCTTGGTATAGTAGCAACAAAAACAGATTTCATTATCCACTGAAACTAAAATCTAATCCGACTTGCCAGAGGCAACTTATGTTGCTCAGTTGCTCTCCACTCCAAAAACATTCCGTCAGCAGTTGCAAGTAACATCATGTGCTAAAAGCATGCCTCTAAAAGAAAAGAAGCAGGTGGGCATTTTGCAACAAATCCATATTTAGAGATGCTATACTTTCTGTATACACCAGTAAGCTTCCCAATTGCAGCCTTCTGATGGAAAGAAACCATCAGTCTTGAGCACTCCCTGTTATATAGAAAAGAAAACGGACCACAACACTCAGAGGGCTCTCTCTGTCTATTCAATAAAAACAATTCATCTTTGCAAACAAAGAATGGTAGATACTTACAAAAGCTGATCTTGAGTGTAGTGGCTATACTTCTCACAAGTTTTACTCAACTCGTTAGGCGCACTTAGAGCACATTGGGCAGTAAATATTGCCGCAGCAGCTAGCATTGAAGGTGGGAACCTAAGCATTTCATACTCAACGAGGCATAGTTCAGTCATAAAGAAAGACAGGAGCTCCACCTGATCCAAGAAATGTCAGTATTAAGTCATGATTCAGAAATTTTTTTCATTATTTAAGCAATTTTCTAGTCCTGCATAAGTTCATTTAATCAAATTTCTGACTAACCTTCTTATCAGACTGAGCAGCTTTAAGAAATCGCATCATAAACACATATGCTGTAGGCACTGATAGGTTGAACTGTAAGGTATTGATCATCAACTTCTCCTGCAGAAAGCATTCAATCAAAGTCATAAGGCACGCTAGAAAAACATTAGCAAGACATCATTAAGTTTTACTTGAATTGGAGCGGCAGAAACATAAATTAAGGTAAAGCATTTAATTTTGTTCTGTAACGTACCATCTCAAGCACTTCTTTTCTGGTGTAAGCCTTATCAGAGATCAAAATAAGATCCTCAACGACAGGAACTGAAACTTCTTCATACTTGCAGGCTAGAAGCATAGCTGTTACCCCAACAAGCTGGAGTTTTTTCCTAATCACTTGTTGGACTGCCAAGAATCTATCGATAAGATTTACGGTCAAATACAAAGTCTCTTCCATCAGATCAAACTTGTAATGTACCTACATATTTGATAGGGCAATTAGTGAGGCCGGAGAATCATTGTGTTACTTCATGGAATTCAGAGAGGCTATGGGTCATTGTTTATATACCTCAATCAGCCAGTCAATGAGAATAGCTCTCATCCTCTCATTAATATCAAATTGTTGTTCCATGTAATTTGGAGGGGCACAGCTAGAACTCTGAAACGAAATACGAATTCATAAAGGTGACTCCATCAAACAAAAAGCTAGAAATTATACAACTTTTATCTCATTCAGTGATGCTTAAAGGAGATACAAATTTTATCAAATGTTCTTTTTTTTTTAAAAAGGAGATACTTGACAAAATACATTAGGGTAAAAAAGAAAAAAAAAAGAACATTCTCAAGTAGAAGGTTAACTTAAGTAGGACCACTCAAGGCTTAGCATAGTTCACTCAAGTGCAAAATTTAGCCACATCTCATGATCGTCATTTCATTTCACATGGTTAACTGGTTCAGTCAGGTTTTGATTTAAAGCCTAATCTTAATCCCATTTTTTTGTAATAATCTGAGAATCAATAATCTGAATGACGGTAGATCAGATGGAGAACCTATATTATAACTTAGATAAAAAGTCCATATCCATACAAATTAAATAAATCCATTAAGCTCCTATGAAAGGTGCAGGGGGCGTGTAAATAATTGCTGACCTCGGTCTTCTTGTAGTAAGCATGCATGTCATCAATGTACTCCACAACTGCAAGTGGGTTCTTTTTATCAGCACTGTCTATGTCCACAATTAGTGTCTCCTCTACATCTTCCATCTCCGTCTCTGCGTCCTACATAAGAATATAGAATAAATTGCGACACCAGAGATCATCCAAGACTAAAATATACGGATCGAATTAATTACCATCCTATCAATTTCCTCCATCATTGCTTCTGTATGTTGCACAAACATTGGCACAGGATCATAGTCACTTGTGGCCTTGTAATCTTCTACATCAATAATGATGCGGTCTTCTGATTCATTTCTATCAGTTGCTGTTTGGACTGGCTGCTTTGTTACCTGTGAAAGATAACACCATTAACATCTCCACTATAATATAACCTAAGATGACACTTGTTGAAAACTGTAACTCAACCGTTGGTTGCTGCAGCTTGGTAGCCATTTGTGCAGCAAATTTCCTGAAGCAGCAAGAATCCCCCATACTATTAAAAAAGAAACCAGACCAAATGATAAAGTACTTAACAGTAAGAACTATCTCAACCAAGAGAATTAATAATGTCAGACCTCGTTACCGGTCGATGAATTGGAATGGGAGGATTCTTAACACCATTCGCGCTCTTGCTAGAAAGAATTGGAAAGGTCAAAATGGTTAATGAAATTGAGAGAAAACAGACATCTTGGAACTCAAAATATTAAAGAGTTTAATCAGTTCTTACTCAGTGATGCCATTTCTCTTGTGTACTTTGCAAGGGTATGCTGGAGCTTCAACTATATTCCCATTTATTGTACTTAGAGCCCTTCTATTATGCCCCATTGTCACTTTTCCTCCTCCAGCCCCTAATAACAAAACCATAGTTTTCCCATTTCATAAATTTGGATTCATAAAATAATCAAGCTAGGATATATATATACACACATTAAACTAATAATGATTTTAACTATACAATCAATCAATCAACTAGACCTCAATCAAAAACCAGATTAAATCGACTATATATGATTCTAACTATTCAAAACCATAGATTTTCCATTCCATAAATTTGGATTGATAATAATCAAGAAAGGATACGTACATTCACTACTCATGATTTTAACTATGCAATCAATCAATCAACTAAGACCTCAATCGACAAATCAGATGAAATCGGCTATATATGATTTCGACTAATCAAAATTCAAAAATTTTACCTTGAACATTTGAAGCCATGATAACACCTTGGCAATTCTCGTCTGATCCTACCATCTTGAACCTAATTGAAGATTGAACAAACCACATTAAAACCCCCAAATATTATTTTTTTTAAAAGGTCAAAATTTAAAGGGTCAATCAAGAATCAAGCTAAGGAAAAGATCCAGATCATAAACCCAAAACACCAACCTGCAAAATCAAAGACCCTTTACACTGATTCTCAAAAAGATCCAATCTTTGGTGAAAATAACCCTAATGTTCCAAGAAAAGAGAGAGAGACTATTAACAAAACCCCATGAAATAATTCAATGGAGTGAAAAATAAATCTTGGAAAAAAAGTCTCTCTCTTTCTTTTTTTCTTTACAGATTATTTTTGGGGTTACTTCTCTGAGTCATTTGAAGATATAGAATCAGATGGGAAATTATGTCTGCAAAGGGCGGCCTTCTATTTTTGTTTTAATATTTTGAAAATAACGGCTAGTAGATTTATTATAGCATGAAAGGTCGTGTATTTTCCCAGCTTGGACTTAACGGTTACCCTTGATTCCTCATTCAAAATTCTTATTAAAGGCATTTTTTGATGCGCTGGCTTGGTTTCTTCTTTTTTTTTTTCCATTTAAAAATTTCTCTCTCGAGATCTCTCGAACAGCCAACGCTTGTAGACATATTACTACAGTGATTTCACTCTTCTTTAGGCAAAAAATTATCTTTTCTCTCATTTTAGTTTCTTTTTAACTTTTGAAGATTAGGGAGTGCTTACTCTTTTTTTTTTATAAAGGGCATTGGTTATTATGAAAACGTGATCTGAAGTTAGAAACCTAGCCAATGAATGTGATCATAACTAGATAATTATCTAAAGTATACGACGATATGAACAGTGTATCAAAGAGAAGCTCAATATTTAGCGGGCGTTTGGACATAAGAATTGTAAAATTTTGAAAAAAGTAAAATATTTTTTCAATTGAAAATGATATTTGAAAACTAGAGTTGTGTTTGGACATTAATATAATTTTGGGTTATTTTTGAAGTTTTGTGAGTGATCTGAGTGAAAAAATTCGAAAAACAGTTTTTTGGAGTTTTTCAAATTTTTTAAAAATTCCAAAATCCATCTTTAAGTGAAAATTTGAAAATTTATGATCAACCACTGATTTCAGAAAAAAGTAAAAAAAAATTCGAAAAAAGTAAAAATTTTCTTATGTCCAAACGGGCTATTAATTACATTACTAACTTGCTAGCATTTACATAGTAATGTCATCTATTTGTTTGTGTTTATGTTTAGAAAAGTAATCTAAATTTAAATTATATTATATATGTGTACTATATATGCTTCCTTTTTAAAGTAGGAAACAATGAGATCCTCTACTTTTAAAGAAAAAGAACTTAACAAGTCGTCATGGCAGGCTAATAAAAGCCGCTACTCTTTGACCCGTAACAATTCAAAAAATGTAGTAACAATTTTACCATGTTACAGCTTTCATCTTTCTCATGTTAGAAAATTGTTTTTCTGACTTCCTTTTCTATTTTCAGAAAATTTTAGTTTATTTAAATGCTAGTACTACTTTATTTTACATTTTTCAGAAGTACCTTGGCAATAGTCGGAGTTTGTTCCAACAAATATATCAGCAAAGAAACTATGTAAAGAACTACTTTTATCAGTGAAATATTATATCTGTTTTTTGGAATAAATACAGTTTGAATATGGTCTTCAATGGAATAAACAAAATTATATAAAAAGCCGACAATACTGGGGACCTGCGAACCCAATTAAGAAATTCTGCGTAACTGCATATGACATAGACCAGAGATCATATTCACTCTTTTGTTCATTTGTCATATCCCACTTGTGGGCCAGGGCAGTGCACATGTGAAATCAGGATTTCAAGCTTATGAGTTCAAAATTCTAATTGTTAAAGGTTATTAGGTTCTAAATTAATCATTTATACTGGGTTCGATCGAACTCGGTCCCAACACTCTACTTTTGTCACTGTGTACGTAGACCTTATCATATCTTAAAGATAAAGAGGTTGTTTCTGAAAGATCACCCGCCTCACAATCTCTCACATTATTTATTATATTATGATGCGGTGATAACCTCATTTTAAATAAGAGCATTTTAATTCGTGGGAAATAAATGACAAAGCTGACATTAAAATATGGCGTGAAATGGTTCTTTTCTTCTTCAAATATTCTTTTGATGGATATTATTTTCCCTATTATGTTATTTGATTTAAAGTAGATTCATCTNTATATATAAAATTAGGGGTGTACAAAGCAAACCGATAAACCGTACCAAACCGATAATCCGAGTTAAACCGGAAAAAAAATCCGATCATAATTAGTTTGGTTTGGTTTTAACTAAAAAAGTCAAACCGAAATAAAACCAACCCGATAGTACATTTATAAAAATTTTAAAAATATTTTATACATATAAGTATTTATTGTAATGTAATTTATAAATATTTTTTTAACTTTTTTATAATTTTATCTTTTAACGTATTATTTCAAGTTTGGACTTAACATTCTTGAATGGTAAATTTTTTTATAGCCCATAAATGTAATAACTCTAACAAAGTTCAAATCAATACTAATGCTAACAAAAGAAACTCAATTCAGCACTAGGAATGATGATAGTGTTGGATATCTAATTTTTAGTTTTACATTGGTTTATAATGAAAATGCTAAACTTAGTTTATCTTTTTCTTTATTGCTTAATTATGTAATTAATAGTACTTATTAGCTATACTTAGTTTAGCATGACATATATAGTATATTTAGATTATGTTAATTTTTATTATACTTATTAATTAGCAATATTTGCTTTATTCAATTTTATTATCTTTGTTATTAAATATTTTAGGATAATGCTATGACTTATTTCATATTATTATATTATTTTTTTTGAAAAATACATTATATAGTTATATCTTAATAGGGCTAAAAAAATATTTGGTGCACAAATTACATATTTTGTGCTATGAAGACTTTACCGGAAAAAAATTCCGAAAATCAAGAAAATCCGAAAAAAAACGAGATTGAAAAATCCGAGTTTGTTGGTTTGATTTGGTTTATAGATTAAAAAATCCGACACCATTAATTTTGTTTGGTAATTAAAAATTCCGAACTAAGCCGACCCACGTACACCCTATATATGATCTAGCTTTCATCGGCAATTTCTTGAAGAGCAATTCGATTCTATAATTGCCTCTTTTTTTTTGGTTCAAAAAATGCATAGTGCGAAGGGACCAAGGGAGCAATGTTAGTCGGTCCGCAAAATTGTAGCCCAAAAAAGAAAATTCAAAAGTAGTTTCTCACTTATTTTACAAGGGGTTCAGTGAATGCTCGTATAAACAGTTGTTGAAATTCAAAAATAGCCATATTTACAAGTGGTAAGTAAAATATAGCCATAATTTTAAAAATAATCGAAATTTAGTCATTTTTTATGTAAAGATAAATTTGAACAAATACACTGTTCAAAATCCGAAAAATATTCCAGCATAATATGCTGGAGTTCGAAATTTTTACATGTGAACTTCCAGCATAACATGTTGGAATTTCATAATGTGCTGGAGTTCCAACATAATATGCTGGAAGTTCAAACACAAATGCTCCAATCTCCAGTGTATTATGCTGGAACTTTCCGTGTGTTGGAGTTCCAACATAATATGCTGGAAGTTCATACACAAGTGCTCCAATCTCCAGTATATTATGCCGGAACTTTCCGTGTGCTGGAGTTCCAGCATAATATGCTAGAAGTTCATACACATGTACTCCAATCTCCAGTATATTATGCTGGAACTTTTCGGTCGCACTAAAATAGTAGCTATTTTTTAATGACTTTTCAAACGCTGGCTATTTTTCAATTATCAGTGTGAAAACTAGCTAGCTCGTACTATTTTAACATAAATAATCGGGGCTAAACCCATTATTGAAGGGGGTTGGTTGCTTCGCCATATGCATATTTTTCTAGGGATAGAATTTGCTCTCCATACATTGCAGCGTCACAACTCTATATTTATTGAGTTTATCTCCTATGTATTGACGACATAAAAATATTTATAAATTCAGATCATTTAAAGTTAAATTAAAAGTATATTTTTTAATGAACATTAATTAAATGGTAACTAATTAGCTATCATATATTTACATTTATTAATAGGGTATAAAAAGTATTATACCGTCATATATATAATTTAAATACATACCATTAGTTTTTTCCTTTGGAGAACAAAGACTAAAAGCGCGCTTAGGGGACTTATGGACTACCAAATGTAATGTAACGAACTTTCAAAACCTTAGCACTTCCAAACCGCAAAAAGCGTTTAGTCTCCAACTTTGAACCGAAAATCCCACTGCAACTTTTTTTCTTCAGACAGAACATTAATTGAGCAGAAGAGAAACCAAAACCTTAACTTCATAGAAAGGTTAGGGTTAGGGCTTTGATTTCGTTATTTCAAACAGATCAACACTAATTAGTTTTGGACCACTCGGGGCAGATCTACCATGTAGCTTATAGGTTCACATGCCCTGTAAATGTATTAAGAAATTAACTTATTTATCTATAAATGTTTGTCCGTAAACCCAGTTATTATTGCATAATATTAACTTGAGATGTTGTAGAAACTTATAAACTTTAAATTCTGGATTTGGAGGCATTATTAAATGACGAAGGCTTGGGAGAACGAGCATGAAGAAGCGGTTACAGTGGAGGAAGAATTTGGATCGAGCTGCCAAACAAGTCCTCAAGACAAAAGAGAATTGGTTCGCGAGCTTATTAGTGTGATTCAAACTGTAGGATCCTATGAAGAGTATAGGAAGTCACAGAGAGAGGAGTGTCATAACCTTGTTCAAAGACTAAAGCTTTTATTGCCCCTTTTAGAAGAGATTAGAGATTTTGATGGACAGATCCCTGAATCGGGTATCGAATGTTTGATGAAATTGAAGAAGGCATTTTCTTCTGCCAAAAAATTGTTAAAAACTTGCTATTGTGGCAGCAAAATTTACCTGGTAATAGTTAACCCCTTTTTTTCAATTAATTATGTCATCATTATATTATAATCAACTCCGATTTTGCGAGTGATAATACACATTGAGTCAATTTATTTGTTTTATTAACAAATATGCAGGCCTTAGAAAGTGAGGCTGTTATGGGAAGATTCTATTCAGTGTATGAAAGATTAAGTCAGGCTCTGGAGGGCATGCCTTATGATGAACTTGGAATTTCAGATGAAGAGAAAGAACAGGTAATATATAACTGATAAATACTTCAATTTATTTCTTGAATAAATTTTGCACTGCTGATAGATACTTGAGCTTAGGGGAGCAAAGCTGAGGTATTGTTGTTAAAGAGTGTATATGGAGACCAGAGTCTTGTCCTCTCTAATTAGATATTTTACATATTCTTTTCAATCAATAACGTTTTGCCCCAAAAAAACAGAACGCAAATTCTGTCTAACATTGCACAAAGTGAGGATGTAATATTGGCTTGATATGAGCTTAAATGGAGCGACATGCTCAATAAAAATTCATATATCCGAGTGGATTATAGCATAATAGTTTTATTGCGCTCATATATTTTCTTGGTATAGTAAGAATTTTACAAGTTGATGTCTGTCACCGAAATGGCTGAGCTTTGGTTTTAGTTTGACATACATTTTTGCAAAGGTTGGGAAACCTTGAAGCAACGATAAAGTTGTCTCCGTGTGACTTTACGAATTTGAACCGTAGAAGCAGCAGTTAATGCTTGCATCAGGTAGGTTGTCGGCTCTTCCACGGACCCTACGTAAATACGAAAAGCTTTGTGCATCGGGATGCCCTTTTATTTAATTACATTTTTGCAAAGAGGAAACCAAAAGTAGCGTCTAACATTTTCGAGGAAATAAACAATTTAGTGCAATGCTGCTATATATAATGTGCTCAGATGTTAAAAAAAGAACATGTTTTGCAGTACAACAACTTGTGGTTGAATATAGATTTCTGACGTCAAATCATTTACTGTTTTCAACTGCAGTTTAGAAGAGCTAAGAAGCGAAATGATACTCAAGACATGGAACTCGCCATGGATCTGTTGGTTGCACTGTCCAGTAATAATGACCGGAATGCAGATAGCGCTAGCATAGACAGACTAGGACACAAGCTAGGTTTACATACTGTTAAGGAACTAAAGGCAGAAACAATATCAGTACGAAAAGTGGTTAGAGAAAGAAAAGGTCGCCATGCACAAGGAACGCAAAAAATCACAGTGTATACGGTCGAAATAGATTTCGGCCTTCGTACGTCTGATCGAGTTCGAAAGATAAGCGATCGAAGTGAGACTTCGAGATGGGTTCCGAAGATGGTACAAACAAGCTTCGAACCCGAGGGCCGATCAATGTCGAGTTTGAAATCATTATCAAGTTCGAATCCAAATCGAACTATGATGCAAAGTAAAGCTATCAAGTTTATGATCCGGAGACCGACCAACATTGACTCCAAATCAATTCAAGAGTCCGAGTCAGAATCGAGCTTAAGCCAAGATCGAGAGCTCGAGTCAAGATCAAGCTCACAGACAAAAACCATTGCAATCCCACTAGAGGACAGAATCTTGGCAGGAATTATGAAAAAGCTGATTTATCATAGACTTCCCACTGAGTATCTTTAATTATATTTGAAGTAAGATCCCTCTACTATAAAAGTGGAGGGTTATCATTTCTGTAAGGCAGTTTTGGATAGAGCTCACATTGTAATTCAAGTACTATATCCTCTTATATTCAAGAGTTACTCTTTTAAGCCTAAAAAACTGATCCATCTTGCTTAGTCCTAAAAATTGTCTGCTTTACAACTTTGTCTATTTTACATTCTTTGTAGTCCATATTTAATATTTTCTTTTTTCTTACGATTTGTATTAAGCTTTATCACATATCCTTAGAACTACGTATAAATTCAACTCTATCCGTTTTTCGGGTAAACATTTTGGCGTCCACCGTGGGGCTAAGGATAACAGTGGTTATTTGATACGAATCTAAAAAAACACGCCAATATGTTTTGTGCTTGTTTCCGAAAATATCTTGAATTTCGGATTAGCTACGACTAACCATCAATCAAATGGCTTCACCAATCGATAACGGGGCCGGTCTTCAGGACGAAAACAACAAATTGACACCCAGTATTGAAAGACCACTTGTAAACGTCGTTGGCGCTCGAATCAGAGCGCCAATAGATATCAATTCGTATATAGCCATTGAGGCGAACCTACATGCTGAACCCGAGAATAGCATCCATGGTGGCACTCGGTCTGCAACTCAAGATACCCATAACGTCGAGGAAAATGACGTTAGTTTGCGTGTGATTTTCGAAATGTTGCAAGCCCAACATGCAGCAATAGCTCAGTTGCAGAGCCAAACCCAGCTACAAAGCAGGCCGAAGCCCAATCCACCTCGAGAAATCACCCACAGAACGGAGCCAGCCATAGTGAAGTCAAATGAGAAATAATCGGGGACTACTCCCGAAATTACTAAATTGCTCGAGGAACTCACAAAGCGAGTCGAAGCCAACGATAAAAAAGTAGAAACTTATAAATCTAGGGTCGATCAGATCCCGAGAGTTCCACTAATGATAAAAGGGTTGGATTCGAAAACATTCGTGCAAAAACCTTTTCCCTCGAGCGCAGCCCCGAAATCAATCCCCAAATAATTCTGTATGCCCGAAATTCCCAAATATAACGGAACGACTGATCCCAACGAGCACGTCACTTCTTACACATGCGCCATTAAGGGAAATGATTTAGAAGACGATGAAATCAAATCTGTGTTGTTAAAAACATTCAGAGAGACCCTCTCGAAGGGGGAAATGATTTGGTATCACAACCTACCACCAAATTCCATCTACTCATTCGCCATGCTAGCAGATTCTTTTGTGAAAGCACATGCATGCGCCATAAAATCCGTAACAAGGAAATCAAACTTCTTCAAGGTAAGACAAAAGGATAATGAGATATTGAGAGAGTTCGTATCTCGTTTTCAAATGGAAAGAATGGACTTGCCACCAGTCACAGACGATTGGGCTGTTCAGGCTTTCACTCAAGGTTTGAACGAACGAAGTTCGACGGCTTCACGATGATTAAAGCATAACCTGATCGAATACCCAGCCATCACGTGGGCCGACGTGCACAATCAGTACCAATCAAACATTAGGGTCTAAGATGATCAATTGGGGTCTGAACTCGCTGTTCGAAGGGATACTAATCGAGAACGAGGTCTGATCGGGGATCGATACCAACCGTACAACGGAAGCCACAGAGTCAGTGAATCGAGACATAACCTCAGGCAAAATAACAAAAGAAGTGATCGATGTCAAGGGTCCCGAGGGTTGATGAACAGAAGTAGGTTCGATAGGCCTGCCGGATCTAAGGAAGCACCTCGGTTATCAAAATATAACTTCAGCATTGATGCATCCGCCATCGTATCGGCTATCGGACGCATCAAAGACACTAAATGGACTCGACCCATGCAAATCGATCTTGCCCAGAGGAATCCCATTCAAATATACGAATAGCATGGCACCTATGGCCACAGAACGGAAGATTGCAGGCAACTAAGAGAGGAAGTAGCCCGGTTATTCAACAAAGGGCACCTTCGAGAATTTTTGAGCGATATGGCAAAGAACCATTTTAAAAACAGGTATTTTGGCAAGCAAAACGAACAAGAAGAACCACAACATGTCATTCACATGATCATCGGTGATGTCGATACCCCTCAGGGACCAGTGCTTAAACGCACTAAGACATCGATTGTGAGAGAAAAGCGATCTCGAACTCAAGATTACACACCCATAGGAACTTTGTCCTTCAGTGATGAAGATGCAGAAGGAGTCATACAACCTTATAAAGACGTACTGGTAATATCCGTACTCATGAATAAAACTAAAGTTAAGCGTGTGTTGATTGATCCAGGTAGCTCGGCTAACATCATCAGATTGAAGGTCGTAGAACAGCTCGGCCTGCAGGACCAGATCGTACCCGCAAACCTGGTTCTAAATGGATTCAATATGGTATGTGAAACCACCAAAGGCGAGATAATTCTACCAATAAACATGGCCGGAATCATCCAGGAAGTGAAGTTTCACGTAATCGAAGGTGACATGAGATACAACACCCTTTTCGGAAGGCCATGGATCCACAACATGAGAGCTGTACCTTCGACCCTACACCAGGTCCTCAAATTTCCAACATCGAGATGAGTCAAAACAGTGTACGGAGAACAACCAGCCGCAAGAGAAATGTTCGTCGTCGAGGAAGCAAAACCAATATCCTCGCCTTCGCCAGTAAAGGGATCGGGCTCAGAAGGGGAACGAGATACCAAATAGCAATCACAGAAATCGGCTTTGACCCAACTAGATAACCGGAAGATCGAAGAAGATGATGATTAAAGGATCCCTCGATCCTTCATGATTCCCGATGACTCCGACGCCGCCAAATAAATGATTGAGGAATTGGAGCAAGTCACACTAATCGAACATTGGTCTGAACGGAAGGTATACCTGGGAATGGGGTCGAGCCCCGAACTCAGGAAGAAACTTATTCAGTTTCTTATCGATAACATTGATTGCTTTGCCTGGTCCCATTTAGATATAACAGGGATCCCACCGGACATAATGACGCATCGGCTAAGCTTGGACCCTAGGTTCAGACCGGTAAAGCAAAAGAGAAGACCCCAGTCCGAGGTAAAGTACACATTCATAAAGGATGAGGTAACCAAACTTCTCAAGATGGGGTCCATTCGGGAGGTGAAATATCATGAATGGTTAGCCAATGTAGTTGTAGTGCCTTAAAAAAAGGAACAAACTTAGAATGTGTGTGGACTATAAGGATTTGAACAAAGCATGTCCCAAAATTCTTTTTCCGTTGCCCAACATCGATCGCATGATCAATTCTACGGTCGGCCATGAGATCCTCACTTTTCTCGATGCCTATTCCGGGTATATGCAAATCCAGATGAGCCCGGAAGACCAGGAAAAGACTTCATTTGTCACCAAATATGGAACATATTGTTATAATGTGATGCCCTTCGAGCTAAAAAATGCAGGGGCTACTTACCAACGCCTAGTAAATAAAATGTTCGAAGAACAAATAGGTAAAATCAATAAAAGTTTATATTGATGACATGCTAGTTAAGTTCCTGTGTGCAGAGGACCATTTGACCCATTTGCAGGAAACGTTCGAGATTTTGAGAAAATACAACATGAAGCTCAACCCCCAAAAATGTGCTTTCGAGGTCGGTTCGGGAAAGTTCCTTGGCTTCATGGTGTCTAATTGGGGAATCGAGATTAACCCCGATAAAATCAAGGCCATCGAAGACATCGCCATCGTGAAAGCTGTACAAAGGCTAACGGGACGGATTGCAGCTTTAGGCCGATTCATTTCGAGATCATCAGATCGAAGTGACAAATTTTTCTCTGTACTCAAAAAGAAGAACGATTTCGCTTGGACCCCGGAATGCCAATATGCAGATAGCCCACCACTACTTCACACTCAAAAAACAGACGAAAAACTTTGCTTGTACTTGGAAGTATCAAAAATCGCGGTAAGCGGTGTCCTAGTTTGGGAAGAGTAAGGTACACAATTTTCCATTTATTATATAAGTCGGACCTTAGGAGAAGCAGAAACTAGATATCCGCACCTAGAAAAACTGGCACTTGCACTGATAAGCGCCTCTAGAAAATTAAGACCGCACTTTCAATGTCACCCCATATGCGTATTAACCACTTACCCGCTTCGTAATATTTTGCACAAGCCCGAACTATCAGGCCGATTGGCTAAATGGGCCGTCGAACTCAGTGGATACGATATCGAATATCAACCCCATGAGGCCATCAAGTCTCAAATTTTAGCAGACTTTGTGACCGATTTCATGCTAACCCTCGAACCCGAAGTTGAAAAAGAACTCATGTTGAAATCGGGTACGTCATCGGGGGTATGAACCCTTTTTACGGACGGGGCTTCGAACGTGAAGGGGTCAGGGCTAGGCATCGTTTTAAAGCCACCCACGGGTAACACTATTAGGAAATCTATCAAAATTACTAGGTTGACTAACAACGACGCCGAGTATTCGTCCATGATTGCAGGTATCGAGCTAGCTAGAAGCTTGGGAGCAGAAGTCATTGAAGCCAATTGTGACTCTTTGCCGGTGGTAAATCAAGTGAACAAAACCTTTGAAGTTCGAGAAGATAGAATACAAAGGTATTTAGACAAACTGCAGGTCAATCTGCACCATTTCAAAGAATGGACTTAACAGCACGTTCCACGAGAGCAAAACAGTGAGGCTGATGCACTTGCAAATTTGGGATCATCGGACGAGGAAGGAGAGATAAGCTCGGGGACTATCGTTCAACTCTCGAGATCTGTGATCGAAAAAGGTGATGCCGAGATAAATTCTACGAGCTTAACCTAGGATTGGAGGAATAAGTATACTGAATACTTAAAGAATGGAAAGCTCCCATCGGACCCTAAAAATGCGAGGGCCTTACGAACCAAAGCTGCTCGATTCACATTAACTGCGGATCGAACGCTATACCGAAGGACATTCGATGGACCATTGGCAGTATGCTTAGGTCCAGGAGACACCGATTACATCCTACGTGAGGTGCACAAGGGCACTTGTGAAAATCACTCCGGTGCCAATTCATTAGTCCGAAAACTTATCAGGGCAGGGTAATATTGGATCGATAAGGGCAAAGATGCAAATTAGTTTGTTCGCAAATGTGACAAATATCAAAGGTTTGCACCAATGATCCATCATCTCGGAGAGCAACTTCACTCAGTCCTATCCCCATGGACATTCATGAAATGGGGAATGAATATCGTCGGCCCTCTGCCATCGGC